ACCACACCAAGTTTTCTCAATGGCTGTTACTTCCATCATTGAGCTACAAACTTACTCCCAAGCTGTTAAGCACGAGTGCTGAAGGAAAGCAATGGATGCAGAGATTGATGCTCTACAATAAAACCAGACTTGGGAGCTAACAGACCTCCCTCCCGGCAAGAGCCCCGTAGGGTGCAAATGGGTCTACAAAACCAAACTAATGGCAAATGGAACGATAGAACGACACAAGGCGAGATTGGTTGCAGAAGGTTATACTCAACAGCTCGGAGTAGATTACTTGGAAACTTTCTCTCCAGTTGCAAGGATCACCACCATTCATACATTCCTTACAGTGGCAGTTCCGAAAGCATGGCCTATCCACCAAATGGATATTAATAACGCTTTTCTCCACGGGGACCTCAATGAAGAAGTCTACATGATGTAGCCCCCGGGATTCCAGAATGAGAAACCTAACCAGTCTGCCGACTGTTAAGATCTTTATATGGCCTAAAACAAGCCAGTAGACAGTGGAACACAAAGTTAAGTGCTGCACTGTGCGGTATCGGGTTCATGCAATCTAAATTGGATCCATCTCTATTCACCAAAGGGAATGCTGCCAACTTCATTTCTTTGCTCGTTTATGTTGACGATATCCTAGTCACAAGCGCCAAGATGGATCTTATACAGGATCTGAAACTCTTTCTGGACAACACATTCAAAATCAAAGATTTGGGAGCCCTTGGTTACTTCTTGGGGATTGAAGCAAAGATAACTAAGAAGGGGGTTTGTGTCAGCGAAAATATGCACTGGAGATTCTAGAAGAAGCTGGTTTCATTGGATGCAAATCTGCAAGCACCCCAATGATACAAAACATGAAACTCAACCGTGATGGTGAAGCTACTATACCTAACGGCCACAAGACCTGACATATCATTCGCCATATAGCAGTTAAGCCAATTTTTAGGTGCCCCTACTGATCAACATTTGACCGTTGTTCATCATGTGCTAAGGTATATTAAAGCCTCACCGGGTCAAGGTCTTCTCTATCCTACAAATATGGATATGCAGCTCAAAATCTTTTCAGATTCCGATTGGGCATCATGCAGTGAAACAAGGAGATCAATCATGGGTTACTGTATGTTTCTTGGTCCAGCATTGATCTCATGGAGATCCAAAAAGCAGGCTACAGTGTCCAAATCATCATCCGAAGCCGAGTATCGTGTTATGGCTACCACAATTTGTGAGGTGCAGTGGCTCACAACTCTCCTCCAAGACCTGCAAGTAGAAATGGACAAACTAGCCACTATGTATTGTGATAGCAAGTCAGCGATAGCAATTGCCGAGAACCAGGTGTTCTATGAGCGCACCAAACACATTGATATTGACTGTCACATTGTCCAGGAAAAGATAAACCAAGGGTTAATCAAATTACTGCCAGTGTCGTCCTCAAATCAAGTAGCGGACGGGTTCACCAAGCCTCTACCGGTCTCCCTATTTTGCCATTTCGTGTCTAAACTGGGCATACAGGATTTGCATGCTCCAGTTTACGCGGGGGGAGGGGAGGTATAATAAAGTAGAGGGGCATCTTTGTAATCTAAAGTGTAAGGGGCCCATGTCAGTTGTAACAGCCTCCCTCCTCTCTTATATACCATGTGTATTATCCAGTGAAGAAGCAAGAAGAAAGATAATGAACTTTTCCTTTCTGTTTTGTAATCTCTCCGTTCACATCATCTGGCACTTCATCACCGTTCCTTAGTGAGTTTAGGTATGAGGAAAATATAGGATAATGAAGAAAAAAATAATTTTATTGAATTTAGATAGGTTTATAAAGTTTAAATAGTGAGAAAAAGTATAGTTTAAATAAAGAGAGAAAACATTCAAAGTTGTTGGAAAGAAAATTTTGAAATCTTGGTGTTGATTGTTGGATTTCAACTATTTATATTTGAGAAGGAAAAGTCTATAAAAGTCTTAAAATTAAAAACTTTACAAAAGTTCATAACTTTTTGAATACCACATGACTTTTAAAGACGCTTTAAAAGTTTTAATCGAATACCACACGACTTTTAAAGACTCTTTAAAAATCTTGATTGAATACCACCTGACTTTTAAAGACTCTCTAAAAGTTTGAATTGAATACCTCCAAACTTTTAAAGTTCATAAAAGTCTTTAAAACTCTACGAAAGTCATGATTGAATACACCCCCTTAAGTTTACTTTATTGTTGTTAGCCAAAAAATGAAAGTAGTGTTTATTGAGCTTGTGTTCTCCCCAAGACCTAGTATACGTGGATATATAATTATATATTCTCCCCCGTAGGATATTTTCCCTTTATAACCACCATACTAGTTTTGACTCCTTATCCCCAAAATAATTTCTAAGCTTCAGGGACGAAGCATCTTGTGAGTGGGGTGGGGGGGGGGGGGGGAGTGTAACACCTCGTGTTAAGCTATTTAATTCCAGATTAATTATTTAATTAATTCCATTAAAGAATAGTTAAAAAGAATTTAATCTAGTCAGGATCCCTTAATTAATTAATGTGGTCCACGAAGGACCGTGGACCCTTAACATGAACTTTAAGTCTACTAGGAATAAAGAAAGTGGCCCTTTACTACTCAGATTCTAATTAGGAATCCTAGACCTATATACCTGTTAGGAATAGAAAGTATGTGTTTACTATTCAGACTCTGATTAGGATTCCTAACTCTATAAATAGGAGATTAGAAAGCAATTAGAACCCTTACCACCCATAGTTATATTACACGGAATTATTTCTGGGATATTCCCCACCACCAAGCCTAGGGGGATCAATTGGATGGAAATCTTAGAGAAGAACCTTAATAGCCAAGGGAGGATTAATTGAGGCTAAGAGGTAACACATGTCTTACAAAACCTATTTTCCTCGCTATATCTTATTTATTGGCTCCTTTGATAATCATATGTGTAATTCTGTGATTGAGTCTTGATAGAGCCCTTGCATAGGATTTATATTGTGTTTATTAGATAATCTTGATGTTCTTGATATTGTGATTGACTATATGTATGATCTCGTATTTTAATTATGTCTAGAGCCCTAGGGTTTATATCGTGAATTTCGTATTATGATGTTCTTGGTATATTTGGGTGGGATTATGCATGATCGGGTGTTGAGTCTAGCCTAGGATTTATCTTTAAGGACTTTGCATATAGATTTCTTTATGTTCTTGAGGTTCAGGATGCTCCTGAACCGTTATATGATTAATGTTGAGTCTTGGCATGTTTAGGAATCGTGTTAGAACATATTTAGTGTGATTCTTGATTTAATCCCGTTAATTGAATACGTGGTGTTGTCGTTATGTGTTTGAATGTGTCTGGACATGGTTTCGGGTTCCACGAGAGATCCCGGGACTGAAAAGTTGCCTGAGTATCAGTGGGGGGTAGGTGGGGGCACGGGTACCCGCTGCCCGGGAACACTGTTCCAGCGGGCAGCCGGCGGGCGGTGGTCTGCCCGCCGGCCACCCGCTGGAATAGTGAGTGGCCGTCGGCGGGTGGCTAGCGGTGGTCATCCACCCGCCACCTACCCGCTGGAAAAATTTGTGTGGGTCGTGATGTTTTTCCCCGTTTGTTGTTTCCCCATATCCCGTTGTGTCCTGTTGTACCCCGTTTGTCGTGTATGAGTCTCGTTTGATGTTTTGAATACCATTCTAGGAATCTATGTGTAATACGTGTCGTTGTTGTTGTGTCTTGATTGTTAATTGATTGATTATGTGTTGATTGATTGAATGGTGATGAGTATCGTGGTCATTACGCAATGACCGGTGTGATTGATGATGATGATGAGATTGTGATTGGTGAAAATGAATTGTTGGCGGTTGGCACCACTTGTGCCCGGTCATTGTACTAATGGTACAGGCCTAGCGGTTACTGTGCTAAAGGCACAAACCCACCTTCGACTAGGAGCATGGGTCAGGTAATAAGTGTTGCGGTGTCATGTCAGGGTTATATGCGCTGACCCCTTGATATTGGCATTAGAGGTGCGGATCATGCGAATGGCACTGCGACACTATCTTGATATGTTGGTGGTCGAAAGGTGGTTTGTCGGTGGGAGCATGTACTTGCCCGGAGGAATAAGGGAGGCGATATAAGGGTGTCCTAGAGGTATAGGTTGGAACTGATATAAGGACGGAGGGGAGCTACAAGGTTGGAACTTGGTATAAGGTTGGAAGATGGATTGTGTGCATTGTTGATTACTTGCTAACTGATTGTCTTGAATGCCTTTGTTGTCTCTATTTGCTATTTATATGCCTATCTGTCTGTTATGTCTTGCAACGTGTTCTTAGGACGCATGTTAGTCTTTATGATTATTCTATAATGTCGAGTCTTTTGTGGTGCCTTGAGTCTTGATCTTGGATTTAAATTAGAGTCTCGTAAGTATATATGTATTCCAGTTTCAAAATGATTTTCTTATATCTACCTATATTGTACTTAACACGTTAGAATGGGTTACCAGCATTATTCGCTGACGGTTGTTACACCGTATGTTTTTCCAGGTACAGATCAGTAGCTTCGGAGCGCGTTAGATGGACTCGTGGATTTAGCTTAGTACTAGTTAGATGGCCTGTGAGCATTGAATTGTATTATGGATATTAGCTATAGTTCATACCTTGTTTGGTTAGTTTAGCCTGTGCATCTAGGTTCTCAAACCTAGATGTGGCATAGCACCCCGATTATTATGTTTCGTTTATGCTCTGTTTGGGATTTAATATTGGATTCGCCTTTATTTTATAAGCTTTAAATATATTAAAATTTAGGGGTGTTACAATCACCGACACAGAGTGTGTCATTACCATTATATTCGTCCGAGATAGAGAGTGCCGCTATATCCGGAGTCGCATGCTTCGTTGCACCCTTCTCTGGGAACTAAGTATGAGAGTCCGGTGAAGAATCTGAAGGAGCTCCCTGATAAACCATATGTGGATCCTTTTCATACCGTTTGTAACACGTATGTGCCGTGTGCCCGAAGTTTCCAAAAAGTTGACACTTCGGTTAGCGATTGCAGCTCCTACCACCACGACCACGACCACCGCCATTCCCGCGACAGCCGCCACTACCGCAACGAGACTGCCCAGATTTCTGGACGGAAAAAGCTGTTGGCGACGATCCTCCACTGCCGGCGACGAACTCCTTGGCACTGAGGAGGTCCGAGAGTTCATGAAGGGTCACCGATGTTCCTCGGACATTGAGAGAAGATACAAGACCCCGAAATTCAGGCTACAAACCTCGAAATACGTAAAGGTTTTGTTTTTCAAGCGGAAGTTACCGGCCAGCGAGAATTAGATCCTCAATGAGAACCTGTGCCCGGCCGATATAATCAGTGACGGAAGCATCACCTTGTTGCAACGTCTGAAGTTGCCCGAGAAGGTTCATCGAGCGAGACCGAGACGAAGAGGCAAGTGCGGAGGTAACGACAGTCCACACTGCACGGCTGGTGTGATGTCCGATAGCTAAGGACATAACTTCATCAGACAACGATGACATGAGCATAGAGAGAAGTGCATGATCTTGACGAACCCATGGATGATAAGCAGGATTCGGCAGAGGCAGCTCTCCCTCTTCGCCGGACGAGATCATGACCGGCGGGCAAGGATTGGTTCCATCGATGAAACCCATTAGATCATGTCCGTTGAGAAAAGGAACAACTTGAGCCCTCCAAAATAAGAAGTTTCGATGAGTCAATTTGACGCTGATGAAGTGATGAGCCGTGGAGAGGGTGGTTACGGTTGAAGTAACCGATGAGAGAGGGGCATCATAAACGGTTCGTTCAGAGAAATTGACAGATTCGTTGGCTATTTGATAGAAACCCTAGCTAGCTAATATCATATGAGAACTGTAATGAATTGTATTAACAGTAATGAATACAAGAGTATATGACCTAGGTATATATACAAGAAGAGGCTTAGGGGGACTAGGATTGGGAGACTAGGAACGGTAATCATAAGTAGACTCAAATACATAGATAGAGTCCTAATAAGGGGATGCGGGGGATGTTGAGTTTACTGTTTTTTTCGGCATGGGGGCAGGTGGCGGGGCAGTGGTGCGGGTGTGTATATGTGTTGTGACCTGGTTGTGCATCGTACTGGTGTTTGTGTGCATTTGTTGGTGTCATATTGTGCATTCATAGTGTTTAATGTCTTGGGTTGTGTGGTTACAGTCATTGGTGTATGTGTTTTTGGTATGTTGTTGGTGACTGCAGGGTTGTCGAGCTTGTTATTTTTTCGGTAGGGGTAGTTGTTGCCGGGCAATGGTGCTAGTAAGTGGGTGTGTGCATGTTCTCTTCTTCTTCTTCTTCATTCCAGAAACTTACTATGTTCCTTTTTCTTAAATTCTTCTATTTTGTGTACCTGCAAAATCACTTTTTAATTGTAATGTTTTCCTCAAATCATCGAACATATACTTGTGTTTTATAAATCTAGTTTGGGATTTCTTAAGAATATTGGAGTTTGTATGTATGTGGACCATCACTGTATTGAATATATTGTAAAAATTGGATTTTTTTAATCCTACATAGCGCTTATCTCTTTGTCAGGGGTGTGCATCATAGTGTTGTTTGTGTTCATAAAAGGAGCAATAATATAATATTATAATTTTTATACCCAGGTTTTGCCATTATAAATTGTGATAGTTTGCCGACGACGGACCACCACTGTTGAGCGCTTGAAGCACGGGGCTGAGTCCCACGATTCATGGCATGCAGACAGGATTGCAACAAAAGAAATGCCAAGCTTGGGTCAACACATGTAGGTTTTCCACATGCAGCCAAAACACATTAATACCCTGTCACCCTCCCCGCACTTTACATTTTGCTTCTACTTTATAATCGAACCCTTTATTTTATCATTGTAAAATATATCTGACATTACCATAATGTTTATGGTGTACTATGTTAATTATTTGTTGAATTTAGCAGATACATATTTACTGACTTACTGTTCATAGGATGACATAGTTTTTTTTTATTTATATTTTTGCGTGTAACCCAAGTGTATCTATTCTCAGAAAAATGATTGTTCATTAACGTTTATCACACGTTTACTATTAAACACGTTTAGGGGGTATTGGCGCATGCATAGTCGTATATGGGTGCATGCACATATTCGTTAACCTAAGTGCACATGGTATTTCATATATCAGTTTTCTTAAGCATCATGGCACATACTCGTTGACCCAAATGCACACACAATTCTATCTAAGTGCACAAACAGCGCAATCCAAGTGCACACCAAAATGTTTAACATATTTTCCTACACAAACTAATTTTGCAAATTATGGCACACACAGTGTAACCTAAGTGCACACAGTTAACCCAAGTGCACACCCTAATTTATCAACCCAAGTACACACAGTTCAATCCAAGGGGCACACCAACTTGTTTTACGTCTTTTCATCCACACACTCATTATTTATGTTATGGCGCACACAGTTTAACCCAAGTGCACAACATAGTCTTTAGCATCAATCTAGTTTTGGTGCATGCACACATTCGTTAACCTAAGTGCACACAATATTTCGTATATCAGTTTTCTTGAGTATCATGGCACAAACTCGTTGACCCAAGTGCATAATCATTTCTATCTAAGTGCACACACAACACAATCCTAGTGCACACCAAAATGTTTTACATCTTTTCCGCACAAACTAATTCTACAAATTATGGCACACACAGTGTAACCTAAGTGCATAGCCAACCCAAGTGCACACAGTTCAACCCAATTGCACACCAACTTGTTTTACGTCTTTTCATTCACACACTCATTATTTACGTTATGGCACACACAGTTTAACCCAAGTGTCCAACATAGTCTTTAACATCAATCTGGTTTTCGTGAATTCATTCTGTCAGTATTTTTGCACATTGTGGCACACACAGTTCAACTTCAATGCACACCAACTTCTTTTACATTTTTTCTTATACCTGCACATTATGGCACACATAGTTTAACAAATGTGCACACATTAATCTATAACATCAAAATGTTTTTTGTGAATTCATTCTGCTAACTCATATGTGGGCATCAAAATGTCAACAAAATATAAATGATAAGCCTCTGTAGCACTCTGATTTATAGAAGCACACAGAACTTAATCTTTTGACATTATCATGTGTTGAATTCAACTATATACTTCACTTAAAATGAAGTTTCCATCAGCCCATCAACTATATAGGCGAGTTCAGGTGCGGCAGTGTCTTACGGTGCGGCGATTTCTTACGATGCGGCAACACCAATAGTTCAACAAATATGCACCATCAACGTTAGGAAAATACACCACAAAAAACAGAGTAAACAGAGCCCTGCATCACCAAACACACACCATTAGGTGTGAGTAAAAACACCATACACTGTTCAAAAATACATCATTGGGGTGGTGAGTTATATGGTGTATTTTTTTGAGTCTGTTGTGTATTTTGTGATGTTTTATTGCATTTCATTGTGGTGTGTTTTTGTTACACTGTTGGTGCATATTGTTAACACTGTAGGTGTATTCTGGAATTCCGCCGCACCGCCGCACAGGAAGACCCCGCCGCATTTGAACTTTATTATATATATATATATATATATATATATATATATATATATATATATATATATATATATATATATATATATATATAAATTAAAAACAAAATCATCTTATTTCATTTTCCCGCCCAAACTTTTGTGGTAAAGCTTATTTAGTAAGTAAATCTCAAATGGAAATTAAATAAAATCTATTAATTCATAAATAATAATAATAATAATAATAATAATAATAATAATAATAATAATAATAATAATAATAATAATAATAATAATAATAATAATAATAATAATAATAATAATAATAATAATGATAATGTAATTTTGCATTTCCTCTTTTTATAAATAGATTAACTGGATTAATCAAGTGACAAAATATACCGACTGATTCAGCGATGAAGTCAGTCAGTAATGATAAATCATAGAGGCGATTAGCGAGAAGATAACAACACAGAGTCAAAGACATAGAATGTTTACCCAGTTCGATACAATGTGTATCTACATCTGGGGGACGATCACATAGGCGTCCAATCCACTAAAACATAATCCAATGTACAAAGGTATATATACAATAATCTTACCCAAGTGCCCCACACAAGGTACATACCCAGTCTACACAGGTTTAGTGGATTGTTGAAGATGGAGAGCCATGCATACAGAAGTCCAATGAAATCCCTTCACTTGGAGAGCCCACTCTGATGCAGCCCACTTCAAAGACGCTCTAAGCAGTTGTTCCCACAACTGTGTGATCACAATGTCCTTTCGTTTAAGCAGTAGTGATTCTTCTCAAGTTCATCATCTTAATCACCATGAACAAGTTGTATTTGAGAAGATGCATGACAATCAAAGAACTCGTCTCATATAGCAGATATGGAGTGTTTCTTCTTACTTTCGGCGTAACCCTAATTCTCGTCGAATAAGAGTACTTATAGATCCATCAATAAACACTCTCCATAGATAACTTTGATTGTAGAAGGTAGGACTATAAATGAGGAATGTAATCTCTGAAGATTAGGTCCATACCTTTCCAGAAAATATATGCTGATCTTCTTTCCAAACTTGTCTGCTTATACCGCGTACAACCTTATAGAAATCAGCTTCCTAAATCAGATCTTCAGTGTCAGTCCTTCTTTTGTTGCTTCTGATTGATCAGTCGTCTGTAGAGCTGGACGGACAAACTCTAAACCTATCTTAATATGCCATAATAATATTGTCAATTATAAGATGGGGTTTTTGAACAATTAAAACACTAACAGATAATAATAATAATAATAATAATAATAATAATAATAATAATAATAATAATAATAATAATAATAATAATAATAATAATAATAATAATAATAATAATAATAATAATAATAATAATAATAATAATAATAATAATAATAATAATAATAATAATCCAAATAAAACTATATATAAATTTAAAATTAAAATTAAAAAAAAATAAGAAGAAGACAAATGTGGCTCCCCTTTGTAAATGATGTGCGATAATTTTGATCCCACATTGAAAATGTTTAGAAAAATGAGCTCTTGAGCTTCTCTATGTAAGAGGATCATTGCTCCTCTTACAAACATATAATTGTTTGCTCATCAATGTGGGCAAGTATTGAGAAGTCCAAAGATTTTTATTTTTATTTTTTTAGTACTATTGACCCGACAAATTATGTTGTGGCACCGTGTCCACCTTGCAAAGTAGACACAGTTAAAAAATTGTTCATAATTATGAATATATAGTTCTATAATTATAAACATAGTGTTGTGAACATAATTATAAACATATAGATATGTAATTATGAATATGGAGATTCAATAATTGTGAATATGAAATTAAAAAATTATGAATATATATCCAAACAAAATGATATACAAACATTTATTACAATAACAATAATAATAATAATAATAATAATAATAATAATAATAATAATAATAATAATAATAATAATAATAATAATAATAATAATAATAATCCAAACAGAACGATATACAAAATAAAATTAAAATTTAAAAAAAAAAAAAAAAAAAAAAAAAAAGAAGACAAAAAAGAGCTACGGGCTCCCCTTTGTAAATGATGTTGGATCATTTTGA